CCCCTTCCTGAACCATTTTTTTTTAAGACAACTCCAACCCAATCGCAAATTGCGACAGCAATTCTGATTCAAATGGCCACCATTTATTCCACTGGTTACACATTTGCGAGCAGCCCATTCATTATCTTGGCACGGTTTCGCTTGTGGTGTCATGGGCTTCGCTAGGATTTTTTTCCAAGGGGGAAAGGGGGTAGGGGGCAAAGCACATCTTTTCCCCTACTTGTACTTTCGCTAGCATATTCTCAATATAATTACTGTTTTCGAGGATGGGCGGGGGACATTTTCCCATCCAACCCCCATCGACACCCCTGCTGATGACCAGTTAAATCTGTATTAAATTCCTCTCACACCTCTCAGTTTCCTTTTTATCCCTTCTTTTTTGCCCTCCTGTTTTTCCGTTTCGGGGGGGGGGGGGAGAGGCAAGTGCCCCCCCCCCCTCGCGACGCCCATGACTACGCTTGAAAAATGCGTGATTACCAGTCCTACGCGAATTATTTCCTCATCAATTGCAATAAGTGACCGCCGTGAGGCTATAATCGACCTATCGACCTTAAGGCACTAGTTGAGAATTTCATCTTTTTTTTCCAAAGTGTGGCTGGCATTGGCGTTTGCAGTTTCCGCATACAGAGCATCGCTTATTATAACGGTGCCCATTATGACGCTGTCATTTGTCAACACGTAAACCTTTCGATAGTCTACTGAGTTTTCCCTCCTCTCGTGTCTATTCTGTCGCAACAACTTGTTGTCATATTTTAGAAAACTCATTGTGTTGACAGAGTTAAGATGATATTAACATTTCTCCTGTTGTCGTGTTTCATTCTACACACGAGCAGCCAGTTTGCTTGTCCCGCGGGATGGACCCAACACGCTAAGTTTTGTTACTTGATAAACACCGCGTCTAAACTGACTTGGTCCGAGGCCGATGGTCGCTGCCGAGCGGCTGGCGGTGAATTGGCCGTGCCCGTAACGGGGGAAGAGGTAGATTTCCTTTGGACCACGTTCCGGGCACAGAACATGAGGGAGGCCCAGCTGCAACCCGACGCAGGGATCTGGGTGGGCTGTCGGCGGACCGCCGGGGTGTGGGGCTGCACAAACACCACTACGCTAGATTTCGCACCGTGGAGAAAACACCAGCCTGACGGCAGTGGCGACTGTGTGATGATGTTGCACAGGATGCCCAAGTGGTCCGACGTCAACTGCGGGAAGCCGAGGTTCACCGCGTGCCAGCGCCGAGGCAGAGCGGAGTGTGCGCGGCAGGGCCGGTGCCATCAGCGGGGCGGCCCGGGGCACCCAATCCACGGCTGCCTGCAGAACCACGTCCTGAAAGAAGTCCAAGTCAGAGACCCCGCCATGTGCTGTATCAAGTGCGTCGATGACCCGCGATGCCGCTCCTTCAACCTCGTTGGGAGTACATGCCAACTCAACACAGCCCAGCGCTCTGACGTCAACTTCAATGGAGAGACTGCAACCAACGGCACTTGCGTTTATTACGAGATCGACTAGATGTTCATGAATATTGACATTGTCCAATAATTGACACTGAGCAACTATAAGGATATTCAATTTGGAAAACAACAAACTTCATTGTTTCAAATCGGAGAACTTGCTAGCGAACTTTTTCAGGGGACCTGGAGGAATAAAACGAGCCGATTCAAGTTGCATCCATATCCGGTGCTCTCTAAAAAAAGAATTGGATTTTTTTTCACATGACAAATTGCAGTTTGTATGTATGTTTTGTTGTAACGGGAAAAGCTACTTTATACCGATTTTGGGCGTCTGCAACCCCTTAACCCTGAAAAGGGGTCATTCATTCTGAGCGAAAAACAAATTTTGTGAAGAAATAATTACATAAGTAAACGTCGGTGCATTTTTTTCTTTCGATGTCTCATTCAAAAGCGAAAAGTATTACATTTCAAGGAAAATGGCAATTTCTTTGAGGCGAAACTCGAAAATAGAACGGGGAACGCATCTTTAAATGAGGAATGAATACACTTCGCAACAGAAGGGCTGATGTGGGACTACATTGACGATGCGGGACATTTTAGTCACTTGGGTTTTTTTTTCAACAATGACTATTTGGCCTAACTTTAATAGTTGCGATCGAAAAACATTTTCGGAGATTGATTTCTGCGAAGTGTGTTCACTCATTTCTTAATAATACTTAATGTTTTAGACGCTAGAGGGCAGCAGATTACTTGCCCTATATTTCTTGATCTATGTATAATTAGCATTGTGCGTCCTGTAAACTTCAAACGTGTTGACAATATATAGCTATAGCCTGCATTTCATTGCCTGTCATGCATGCCTTAATCCCGTTTTCATACACTTTTCTTTGTAACTGCGTGGAACTTATGAAAAAAAGGGCAAATCGTCCTGAAATCGCTGAAAATTGTATGTATAAACGATTGTTTACTCATCCTATTTCAAAGGTGTGGTTGAAAGAGAACTAACCTATTGCGTACTGTTCCTGAGAAAAGACGAATAAAACGTGGTTGTTCATATCTGGCGCAGCAGACATTTTGTGGCATGCGCATACGAGCTCCTTAGCACAACAATTTGCTTAGCATGAAAAGTCTGCCTTGGCAAAAAAAAACAGGATTACCAACCAAATGTCCATGTGATGTATTTTGTTTGTGATTGGTATTCAGCTGTTGTTTGTTTAGCATGAAAATCACATGGAGTTTTGGCTGGTTACCTGCTTTTGTAAGCCAGACTTTCTCGTACTAAGCAAATTGTTATGCTTAGCATCTCCACGAAATTGGCCCCTGAACAACCACGTCAGCTGCTGCGTCATCCGAATTGTTCACACAGTGGTAGATAGATTTGCATCCACGTTTGAGGCTATGTTTGTATGTATTTTGCATGTACTGTACAGTGACGATCGTGAGCTAGCAATTCGCAAACACATTGGTGTCAATATTGCCGCGATGACACCCATCAGCAGTGCGAGATTTTGTCAAGGAATTTAAGAGTATGGTTGGATGAACTGGTACTTAAGTGTCACTGTGGATGGAAATCAGTTTGAGCTGCAGTACAGCAGTAGTGCTTTGAAAACTAGCCACCACCAACACAAAAATGTTTTGGAAGCCTGGGAGAGTGGGAGTTTATAACTAGTACATACGTGCATGTGCATGTATATATGTACATCTATACAAGTAAATGTACAATATTATATGTACAATTACACTAACATGTACATATACACGACAAGGGCGGATCCAGAACACAATTTTTTGGGGGGCCCAAAAAATTTTTGGTTCCCCAAAAAAGTGGGTTAAAAAATTACGGCGTGGGGTTCGGGGCCCGCTTAAGGGCCCCGAATTTTTTTGGATTCTAGATGCTCTGTGGTGTGATCTGAGGCAATTTCTGACCACTTTAACCAATGTTTTTTGAGGAAAAGATGGTGGTGTACTCATTGCCTGCCTTTATTGCGATGTCACATAAAAAAAAAATTGGTTTCGTTTAGGGGGAGGGGGCCATGACCCCCTTTGGCCCCCCCTCCCCCCCCCCCCCCCCGGATCCGCCCTTACACGCATACATGTCAACCCTCAACCGAAGTTCGTGGATTTTTCGTTTTTGTCAAATCTCACCCCTCCAGCAATTCTGATTAAAATGGCTTCGTCCATTTATTCCACTGGTTGCACCTTAATACGAGCAATCAGTCCATTACCCGCTTGGCACGCACGGTTTTCGCTAGGTGTGACAACGTTGCCATGAATACGATACAAAAATGCATGATTATACCAGTCTCAATACGTGCATTATTGCGTTATCTGTAAGTGACTGTCGTGAGGCTATAATCGACTGCTCGAACTTGCCCTTAGTGGCGTATCCAGCGGGGGAGGGGCAGGGGGAACTAGCCCCCCCCCCCCCCCCCTCTGCCCGGCGGATTTTTCAACCAAATGTGTTTGTCAGCATTGATTTAAATAAATGTTTTTAGAGTTCTTCTGACATCAGTCCCACCAAAGAAAACCCGCTCAACAACAATTACAATGCGCCGTGGAAATGTCCATATAATATGTAGTATGCATAATAATGGTCAGTTTTGAAGGGCGTCTTTATTTGGGAGATGGGGACCAGCGTGATTTTCCGATTTGGTTTCGGAGTGCACAGTGAACCCTTTCAAAATTCCCAAAAAAAATAAGAACATAATTTTCTGACAAATTTCAAGTTGGGTATGTAAGAAGAGATAATAACGGTTTATCAGAATTTGTCAACTTTACAAAAATTCTTTAATGTTAATTTGAAATTGTCCTTGATTTATTCAAGTGCGCCACGCTAGGGAACACTCAGCCGATTTTGTGCCCAATTTCCGGAAGCCGCCGTTTTTTAAGTTTCGGATTAAAATTCATGACAACAAGATTGTTCACAGAGGTTATATAGCAAGCACTAATAAGGTAAAAGTATCAGTATTTCACTGAATAAATTTGAAGTTTGTCAACAAAGAAGTTTGGCAACGGGTAACTGTTACTTGGTGATCACCACTCATAGATTTGCATGGTCCGAGGCCGATAGTCGCTGCCGAGCGGATGGCAGTGAATTGCAGAATAGGTACAAAGCGTTTATCGCATTATACATAAATTCCCCTCCATGAACCAATTTTGTAGACAGCTCCAAACCTATCGCAAATTGCGACAGCAATTCTGATTAAAAATGGCCACCATTTATTCCGCTGGTTACATACACGGCAAGCACTATATTACTGTTTCGCTTGTATTGGTGTCATGGGCTTCGCCAGGATTTTTTTCTAGAGGGGGGCAAAGCACATCCCCCCCCCAAATCCTTGTACTTTCGCTTGCATATTCTCAGTTTATCTTTTTTTTTTCGAGGGTGGGCGGGGGATATTTGTCCATCCCACCCCCATTGACCCCCCTGCAAGCGACCATTTTGTTAAATGTGTGTTAAATTAATAGCAATGACTGCACACCTCTTTTTCTTTTTTCTTTTTTTTCTTTTCTTTCTTTTTACTCTACCCGCCCCCTTCCGACGCCCATGCTTGGTGTGACAACGTTGCCATGACTACGCTTAAAAAATGCATGTTACTAATCCTACGCGAATTATTTCCTCATCAATAAGTGACTGCCGTGACCTCCCGTGAGGCTATTCAAACTGTTGACTTTCAGGCCCGCTAGTTGAGAATCTGCAGTGTGGCTGGCATTGGCATTTGCAGTTTCCGCATACAAGAGCATCGCTTATTATAACGGTGCCCATTATGACGCTGTCATTTTGTCAACACGTAAACCTTTCGATAGTCTACTGAGTTTTCCTCCTCTCGTGTCTATCCTGTCGCAACAACTTGTTGTCATATTTTACAAAACTCATTGTGTTGACAGTGTTAAGATGATATTAACATTTCTCCTGTTGTCGTGTTTCATTCTACACACGAGCAGCCAGTTTGCTTGTCCCGCGGGATGGACCCAACACGCTGAGTTCTGTTACTTGATGATCACCACACCTAAATTGACTTGGTCCGAGGCCGATGGTCGCTGCCGAGCGGCTGGCGGTGAATTGGCCTTGCCCGTAACGAGGGAAGAGATACGTTTTCTTTGGACCATGTTCCGGGCGCAAAATCTGAGCGAGTCCGAGCTGCAACCCTCCGGGGGGATCTGGCTGGGCTGTCGGCGGACCGCCGCCGGGCTGTGGGGCTGCTCAAATACCCCCACGCTAGATTTCGCATGGTGGATGGGCGGTCAGCCTGACGGTGGCGACTGTGTGGTGATGTGGCACCACGAGGCCAGGTGGTCCGATGCCGAATGCGAGACGGCGAGGTTCACCGCGTGCCAGCGGCGAGGCCGGGTGGAGTGTGCGCGGCAGGGCCGGTGCCATCAGCGGGGCGGCCCGGGGCACCAGATCCACGGCTGCCTGCTGAACCACGTCCTGAGAGAAGTCCAAGTCCAAGACCCCGCCATGTGCTGTATCAAGTGCGTCGACGACCCGCGATGCCGCTCCTTCAACCTCGTTGGGAGTACATGCCAACTCAACACAGCCCAGCGTTCTGACGTCAACTTCAATGGAGAGACTGCAACCAACGACACTTGCGTTTATTACGAAATCGACTAGATGTTCATGAATATTGACACTGTCCAATAATTGACACTGAGCAACTATAAAGATATTCAATTTGGAAAACAACAAACTTCATTGTTTCAAATCGGAGAACTTGCTAGCAAACTTTTTTTAGGGGACCTGGAGGAACTTGAGCCGATTCAAGTTGAATCCATATTCCGTGCTCTCTAAAAAAAGAATTGGATTTTTTTTCACATGACAAATTGCAGTTTGTATGTATGTTTTGTTGTCAACTCAACACAGCCCAGCGCTCTGACGTCAACTTCAATGGAGAGACTTCAACTAACGACACTTGCGTTTATTACGAGGTCGACTACATGTACGTGAATATTGACACTTTTCAATTATGGTTGAGAGAAACTATAAAGACGTTCAATTTTGAAAACAACAAACTTCATTGTTTCTAATCGGGGAACTTTTTAGGGGATCTGGAGGGATAAAATGAGCCAATTCAAGTTGCATCCATACCCCGTGCTCTCGAAAAAAAATAATGATTTTTTCTCCTAACAAATTGCAGTTTGTTTGTATATAGGCCTATGTTTTGTTTTAACGGAAAAAGCTACTTAAACCGATTTTTGGCGTCTGCGACCTCTGAATCCTGGAAAGGCCCGGGCAATCCATTCTGTGCGAAAAACGAATCAGCCTTGCGAGAGCTGCATTATTGTCTGGTAGCTAATGAATTCGAATTTTGTGAAGAAATAATACAATAAGTAAACGTCAGTGCAGTTTTTTTTCGTTCGATGTCTCATTCAAAAGTGAAAAGCCTTTAAATTCCAGGAAAATAGCAATTTATTTGTCCAGGTCAAACTCGAAAATAAGCTTTCATCTTTAAATGAGGAAAAGGATACTCTTTGCAACAATTGGGGGATATAATGACGATGTTGTATTTTTTTCAACGAAGACTACTAGGCCCATAACTTAATTGTGGTCAAAGAATATATTTAGATTGATTTCTTCAAAATGTGTTCGCTTATATATTATAGTTCGAAAAAATAATTGTTATTTTAGACGCTAGAGGGCAGCAGATTACTTGCCCTGTATTTCTTGACCTTTCTAAGCTTGGTTGACAAACTGCACAGTTTGCCAACCAAGGGTTGCAAAACTATGGAAGGTCCAACACTGCAAAAATGAAGGAGAGTTATTACAGGTAACCGAAATATTATTTGATTGTTGGAAATACAAAATTGTCAACAAAGCTACAACATAATTCCTAAACATGCCCTTTTACTATTGTATTGAGGGCATTATGAGGACTTTTTGGGGGGGGAAATATGTTGCCAACCACAGCTTCAAAGTTTATGCGCTTTCGGCAGCCCACATAAAATGGCGCCAATGTTTACAAACAAAATTGTGCGCATGTCCTGTAAACTTCAAACTTGTTGACAATAGCCTGCATTTCATTGCCTTTCATGCATGTCTTAATCCCGTTTTCATTCGCTTCTCTTTATAAGTGCGTGGACTTAAATAAAATGGGCAAATCGTCCTGAAATCGCCGAAAATGTATGTTTATACGATTGTTTACAGTGGCGTATCCAGAGAGGGACAGGCGGGCACTTTGCCCCCCCCCCCCCCCCCGGCTGATTTTTTGGAACGATATTTTTTCCCGTAACAATTTCCATAAATGGTTAGAGAGTTCAGACATGAACACAAAAAAAGAAAACCAAACTCCAAAACCATTACATTGCGCCGTGAAAATCGGCATATATTTTGGAGTATGTACAATAATGGTCTGTTGTGGAAAGCCCCCCCCCCCCCCGCATTTGGAAGAAGGGAACCAGGGCGCCCCCCCCCCCCCCCCTGCGCTGTTTGATTTTACGGAGGCAAAGTGTCCGCGGAAAAAAGCTGGATTCGCCACTGATTGTTTACTCATCCTATTTCAAAGGTCTGGTTGAAAGGTAATGTCGTACTGTTCCTGAAATATCGAGAAAAGACGGAGAAACCGGTTGTTTACTTCTGACGCGGCGGTCATTTTGTGGCATACGCATACGTTTTTCTAGCCGTAAATATAGGTCTCTTTCTTGGACATTACGTTGCCCCCCAGCAGTTGTCAGACGTTGTGTGTGTACACAAAATATGTACAAGTGCACACAGCACCAATACACACGTTGTTTCCAGCACGTCCGCAGCATGTGATGCGCTCATGGAACATGCGAGACTGGAATCACTACTAGCACCCAACAGCTCCAGTTTTGAGAGTCAAAATTTCATCCCCCAAAATTTGTTGTCGCAAGAATAACACAAAAAGGCCAATTTTCAAAGGAAGTCCGTGTGGACGTTTAGATTCTACCTTTAAGTGCTCTTTCCAATTAATATTGTTTAAAACGCGTTCTGTAGCCCAATTTGGCGCTTTCCCTGACGTAGTGTCCCTTTAAAATGAATAACGGTTATAGGTTACCTCCCTGCAATGGCGAATCGGGGGGGGGGTAGGGAGTCTAACTCAACCTCCCCCTCCCCTCCCTGGGCTGCAGAAAAAATGGCAAAATCATTCAGAAAAAGTAGCACATGCCAGCAACACCCCCCTCTCTTGGGCCAAAGATTGATCCGCCCCTGCCCTTTGTAATAGGGCCTTTATTGCACAAGTAGGTCAACCATGAAATAAAAGCCCCATTGAAGAATTAATATTCATGATGCTAAAAGCATCTGATACATTATATCACGCTTAACGAATGGGAGCGAGAAGCGAGGTTTCATGGATTCAACTCGCTTATCAATAATTGATGGCGCCCTCTAATAGTCAAAGAACAATAAATTAAGCAACACAAAGGCATGTGCTTGACTGCTGTGAAAAATACTGATGAATCTGTTAATGCATTGCTTAATTCCCTTGACATCCTACACTCACGCATGTGCCTAAGCAGGAAACGATGCTCTATATTGACAGTATCTATAATCATGGGTCTCATGGCATTTCCTGACCTGAAATCATGTTGGGGGGTGTGGCCAGTCGCCAGAAACTAGCATGCAGGCTGGCTAAAATGACTCCGTTGCATGGGCGCTGTTTAATACGGACGAGACTGGACATTGGTGGCGCTGTTACTCAGCTAACGGGATCAACTGGGGCCAAGTTCGCGCAAGGACTATAGTTCGCCCAAAATCTGTCTAGTCGACGGTGGTTGACAACGCTAGTCGACTATTTGGAACCAGCCTACTGGGGTTGGTTGCTTCGCAGGTAACCAAGAGCCGCGCGCATTCATAACGCTAGCAGAGAGCCAGGATCCAGAAGTTTTGCGATGACATTTTGACCAGCGTTTGACTCCTAGAGACGTTCGCACGTTGCTATCATTGAGCAGGCGTAAGGTACGTCACAAATCAACCACTAGTCGACTAATGGTCCTTGCCCGAACTTGGCCTGGGATGAGGTCAACTTCGTTCCCAAGATGACGAGCAGTTTACGCTCCCACCACTTCCTGCTCTCCCAAAACAGCTTACTATTGAAAACGAGGTTGGAAATAAAGTAAGCTCTGGGAACAAGGTTGGAAGGGGGAACTTTATCCCTAAAAGGGTCGGGTTATTTTGACCATCTCTCAGCCGGGGGGGGGGGGTTCACTCGGCCATCGAGTGACGAAAACGTTTGAAACTCGGTACATGCATAGAGCAACTCATCATAAACATACCCAAGAAATTTCATGACTATAGGTCAAGGGGTTTTGGAATTATGGCTAATTAATTATGTACGAATGGTAATTCTGCTCTGTGTAAACAACGTATTATGGGAAAATTCAGTTTTCACGGCGCATAGCGCCGGAAATTTTTCGGTGCGCGGCAACACGTGATCCGATTTTTATATTTTGGGTTTCAAAAGATGCGCAAGGCTCGAGGCTAAAAAGCCATAACAGCTCGGGTCGCGAAATTTTTTTTTAAGGCTATCGCAGAAAAAGTAGAGGCCCTTTTAGGGTTATGGCTGGTTTCAAATTATAGGTTGCTATGAGTCTTTGCTGTACAGCCTCTCCTAAACTAGCCCACTTCCCACGGACACTCGTGCGTTACAAATTGATAGAAAATGCCCCGAATGTGGACCTCTGTAAATGTTCAATGGACCGCTTACGCATCCGCCTCACAGCCCTCATTTGCACACATTATCGTTTTCGGGTGAAAGGGTCTATCACCGACTTCATACAAGTATCCTGGGGCAAATTTCATTGGAACTGCTGAGCACAAAAATTTGCTAAGCATGAAAAGTCTGCCTTGGCAAAAAAAAACAGGATTACCAACCAAATGTCCTTGTGATGTACATTGCTTGTGATTGGTATTCAGCTGTTGTTTGCTTAGCATAAAAATCACATGGAGATTTGGCTGGTAACCTGCTTTTACTAAGCCAGACTTTTTTTGGACTAAGCAAATTGTTATGCTTAGCAGCTCCATGGAATTGGCCCCTGATCAACCACGTCAATTGCTGCGTCATCCGAATTGTTCACACAGTGGTAGATAGATTTGCATCCACGTTTCGATGGTGGCCTGTTTATCTCCTCATTGAGTACTGAAAGTTTAAAACAAGGCAAACAGGCTATAGTCTAGTTACACTATTCTCAATTATTCAAAATGCTATCGTGTATCCTTGGGCAGATTTTACCCTGACCTTTTTGCTCACATTTAAAAAAAAAAAGTTTTTAGGGCCTAAAATGTTTAAGAAAAACAGTTCCTTCGCACGATGATACGCAACAATTTCGAATTTTTAAGATGTACTTTTGCGGGCACGTTTTGCTTTTTAATAATCTATTAATCTGTTAAATCATTTTTTTAGGGAAACACGTTTCACTATTGAGCTCAATACGTCGCTTCAGTTTATATACGTCACCCTGATTTTTTTTCCAGTAAAATTGGCAAGTGAAGCGTACATTCATTTTGTTTAAGTGAAATTCATCAACATTTTAATCTTTATGGAGCAGTGTCTTGTTAAATATTATACCCTTCAGCCTTCAAGGAAAATCGTTATCAATTTTCCATTAGAGGGTGTATTGATTCAGTCATGTATTTAAACAAAAAGGTCACAAAAGAATACCGTAAATAGTTTAACCTTCCCACGCAAGGAAACCATTAATTCAAGAGTGGTATAGTTAATGTGAATTCATTACAAATCAATAACGAGTCAACCACAAGTCCACCAGCATCGCCAGACCTATCGATTGAAGGACAACACAATTGTCGACAAAGCACACTGTGATTGCAGGTAGAACGGATTTTACCCCATCGAAAACCGAACGGTTGGAAGTGAGCGGAAGTCGGACACCGTGGACTATTATTATTATTATAAATGGTTTATTGATAAAATTTTAAGTGACAACCCAGAGCTGTATTAAATCAAAATTTACATATTGAAAAAAAAAAATTAGCATTAAAAAGACTAATAATAGACAAGAAAAATTCAGCCAAAACAATATAAAATATGAAAACACTTGAAATTGGCATCAAACAATAATAGGACTAGAGAAAACAGGACAAGACAAGATAAAACAAGACGTAACAAGACAACACAAAACAAGACAAGACAGGACAGGACTAGACAATCAAGTATCAACAATCAGCAAAAAAAACTGCAAGCTATTACAAATAAAATGTCTTAAAAATACCTTTATTTAAGAAAATATATGCACCTTTTAAAACAAAATTAGCATCAAACAAGTCAAGGGCAAGACATGACATAACCCAACATGACATGACACGACAAGACAACACCGGAAAGGACAGAACATGACATGACAAGACAAGACTAACTTAGATCAGACTAGGTTCCCAAGCATTGGTGATAATCAGCGAAATTTATAATAACAAAACTAGAAACTTAAAATATATATTTAGCTTAAAATCAAAAATTAAAGTACAGCTGTATAAAAAAAATGCTTAATCTATGTTACTCAACAGGTATATATTATTATTCGTTACATTGCAAGATGTTGTAAAGAATTAATTAGACTAATCATGTATGGTACGGCACTATCCCTGAATCTGTTGGTTTTGCATTTCGGTTGTGGTATCAAATTAGTTTTGCGAAGAACTCGGTGGTGTTTTTTAGGAGGTGTAAAAGA